GAGAACTAGAAAGGCGAGGCTCACCACCCATTTATCCCTCTGCCTTTCAATTAGCCCCACATGTGATTATCGGCCAGGCTGGCACAATTAACTAACTCACTGGGTTTCCACCTTGTTCCCTGGTTGGTCTGGTGGGAGGGTGACATTGGTGACTCCTCTGTTTCAACTAGAAGTGGAAGGCTGTGGCTTTTGAAGGGCAGAGATTTCGAGGTCCGGGCTTGTGGAGTAATAACACCAGTGATGTCCCTGGCACTCAGACATGGTGCCACCGGCAGGCCTAGTGGCCCCTGACCAGAGAGGAAGCCCAGTACTGGCACTGCCCATGGGGCTCCCGACACCAGCTGTCATCTGAAAGTGGTGCAGGGCTTTTTACTTCTTCACAGGGCTGCTCTGAGGGAACGAGGGACGAATTAGGAGCCCTGGCGGTGTGGTGATTACACCTGGGGCTTGGAACCACAGGGTCAGCAGTTTGAAACCACCAGCCGCTCCAAGGAAGAAAGACAGGGCTCTCCACTCCCTTTAAGAGCTCGAGTCTCAAGAACACACAGGGCAGTTCTATCTTGCCCTCTAGGGTCACTGTGAGTCGGCGTCGGCTGGAGCACAGGGAGATTGGGGTTGTGTCGGCCTTGTGGGTGAGTGCTCAGACCGGCTGGAAGTTGGCATTTGAACCCACCTGCGGCTTCAGGGAAGAAAGAGCTGGCAGCTACTCTCTGCCATCGTGTCAGTTCCGGCGGACAGCGACCCTATAGGGCCGGGTGAAACGGCCCCTGTGAGTTTCCAAGACGAACTCATTTTTACAGCTTCTTTCAAAACCGGGGACTGCCTCCTGGTTTTGAACTGCTGACCTTGTGTGGTTACCAGCCTACTGTGTAATCCAGGAGACAGTTCTACTCTCCCCTGTAGGGTCACCATGAGCTGGCATCAACCGCAGAGCACAGGATAACAAGCCGCAGCATGAGAACCACCCCAGCCTTCATACAGCCAGGGCTCCCCCCTTTCCCACCCCCACCATCCTCCTCTCTCCATGGGCTGTGGGCGAACCAGAACCTAGTTAGGCCTGTTTGTGGACAACTTTCGAAATGTCGCTTTGGGGCAGGAGGGGGTAGACGACAGAAGGCCTCCCCTTCGGATGTGGAGCCCTTGGGCAGTCTGTGTCTCCAGGTCGTTTGAACGGCCCAACTCAGGGCCTGGGCACACTCCTCTGGTGCAGTCTTGAACCTGCTCACACTCTGTCCAGGTTGGGTTTCACAGGGTATGATGGACAAGGAAGCAGGCAGGCGGTGGGGCAGCAGAGCCATGTGTTGGCTTTGGGAGTTTCACATCAGCCTGGGGGTCCGTCCGGTGTCTGCTGGCTCAAGATTTAAAGTGACCGGAGGCTGTTGAGTGGCCCCTGCAGCTATCCGGCCGATCCTCCTGCTTCCTCTTGCCTGGGGATCTCTGCCTCCTGTCTCCCCAGTCCTGGCTCCCTGCTGTCACCACAGTCAGATGTGTGGGCTCTGCGGAGCCCCTTGCTTGTGGCCCTGGTCGGGCCCAGAGTTGAGCTCCCAGCTGAGGATGGCAGTGAGGGGGTGGTCAGAGGTGTGAGAGGGCGTGCTGTCCTGTGTGTGTGTGTGTGTGTGTGTGTGTGTGTGTGTGTGTACCTAGTCAGCGGGAGACCCTGGGGAAGCCACTGGGGCTCTCTGCCGCCCCTGCAGCAGGATGTCCTGAAGCTGGGGGACTTCGGGTCCTGCCGCAGTGTCTACTCGCGGCCGCCGTACACCGAGTACATCTCCACGCGCTGGTACCGGGCCCCCGAGTGCCTGCTCACGGACGGCTTCTACAGCTATAAGATGGACCTCTGGAGTGCCGGCTGCGTGCTCTATGAGATCGCCAGGTGGGACCCCGCCCTGCTGCAGTGCTTGGGGGGATTCCCAGGGGGCCGAGGAGTGGGAGGCCAGGTGGGGGCAGGCCCAAAGTGCCACCAGGACGGATCCTCCCTGTGTCCCTTCACCCACCCGGTACCTCCTCCCACTCCCCTCCAGGCCAGAAAGGCCCACAGCCCCACCCACTGTGACCCTCCCTCCCCCTCCCTGGGGCCCCTCCCCCCTGCGCCCTCCAGGCTGGAGAGGCCCCTACCTCCACTCACCCTGCACCCCTCCTCCAGTCTGGAGCCCCTCTTTCCCGGGGACAACGAGCTGGACCAGATCTCCAAGATCCATGACGTCATCGGCACGCCTGCGCAGAAGACGCTCACCAAGTTCAAGCAGTAAGCGGGCAGCTGCGTCCACCCCGTGTGAGGGGCTGGCCCATCCTGCCCGGTGCCCAGCTGCTCAGGAGACGGACCCTCTGAGCACCCCAGGGTCGCAGGGTCTGGAGGCCTGGGGTCAAGTTCTCCCTGGACAGTGACACTGTCCAGTCGCCAGCTGCCCCAGGAGGCCACCGTAGACCCCGGGGCTGGAGTTGGACCCACAGTGAACCTGAGGCTGGGGCCAAAGGCCAGGCTGGGGGCTGGGGGGCTGGGCCCTGGGAAGGTCAGGGGAGGGGCTGCTCCAGCCTCTTGTTAACCGTCCCCTGGGCACGTGGCAGTCGTTTCTAGCAGGCATGGCCCTCCGACCTTCATAGCAATGCGTCGCAGCCCCCCACCCCCCACCCCGGACACACAGTCACCTCAGTCAGGGCCCCTCTGGAGACTCGGGAGTGGCTGCCAGGTGCCCCAAATTGTGGCGTGACTGTTTGTACCATTGGCTTTTGATGCAGGTCCAGAGCTATGAGTTTTGATTTTCCTTTTAAAAAGGGGTCAGGGCTATCTCTACTGACCAGTCGCCTGTCAGCTCAGTGCCACTCCCTCCTGTGCTCAATGGTGGCCTATGACCCCGACGAGAGGATCACCGCCCACCAGGCGCTGCAGCACCCTTACTTCCAGGAGCAGAGGTAGATGCACCCCCGGGGGGGGGACCCAGGGTCCCTGGGAAAAGTGACCAGTGGCCCAAGGGAAGAGTGCTCCATCAGCTAGCTCTGTGTGCCAGGAGAGTGGGCACACAGCCAGCACCTGGCACCCGGCTGGCTGCAGAGCGTGTTGGGGAGAGGGTCTTCTTGCAGCCCTGAGGCTGCCAACCCCACACCTGCTGTGCCCTGTGTGGGACCCTGTGTGCCCAGTCCCAGAGCCTCCACAGGGACAGCCTGCTTACCTGCACAGGGCACGGGACGAGGGGGCAGCCAGATCTCAGTGAGCATGGTGGGGTCAGTATGGATGGGCATCAGGGAGGCCGAGCGTCTCAGGGAGCCTTCTCCTTTCTCCCCAGGGCAGCTGAGAAGCAGGCTCTGGGCAGCCACAGACCCACTTACTTCCCGGAACACTCTGTAGCCCTGGGGCCTGCCAGCAACAGCTGGTGTGTGGCCCAGGAGGGCCGGAAGCAGGTACTATGTCTTGGAGCTGGCTGCCCGGTTCAGTGGGCCAGTGCCCACAGGGAGGGCCCTATGAGTCTGGACATCCCCCCACCCTCACCCCCTGCTCTGGCTCATCCCTCTCAGTCCTATGGGGCCCTTTGGAAGCTCCGTGTCTCTGCAGTGTGGCCCTGCACAGTGACACAGAGGCTGGGCCATTAGCAGGCCCCTACCCTTGGCCCCTAGGACCACAGACAAGCCTGCTCACCTGCCTGTCTGGCCCAGCTGTTGGTGGCATGTCACAGAGTCCCGTGTTGGCCCCAGGTCCCAAGTGCAGTGGTCCCTGGGTGCCTACATCCCATCCAGAGAGAGGGTTTTGGCTTAGGGATCCTGTTTCATTTTGCAACCCATTTCCCTGTTGTCAGCACTATGCCATTTGACCCGTTTGACCCCCGAACCATCACCGTGCTCACCTTGCAGCTCTGTCCAGTCTTCATCCACCCAGCGTGTGGAGGGTCGGGTCAGGCTCATGGGAGCTGAGGATTCTTACCCTAAATCCAGATCCTCAGCCCCACCACGCTCTCTCCAGCTCTCCCCAGTGCCTTCCCTCCAAGGACCGAGACGCCACCACGCTCCCGGTCAGTCCTCTGGGAACCTCTGTCCTATCCCCCCACCAATCGCTTTCAGGGAGCCCCACCTGGACACCTCATCTCTTCTCCCTCCTGTCCATTTTGTCCTCTGGTTTTGGCCCCAGAAATGGACTCCTGACAGTGTCCCCAAGCCCCAGAATCTACTACTCCCCCCCACCGCAGATGACAGAGAAATGCTGTTGGTGATGTCACAGCTCACTAGCCATCCAGTCAGGGCCTCCCCCTGCACACCCCACTTCCAGTAGCCCAGGGGTCAGTGTGCACATGTTCTCTGTCAAGGCCCAGACAGCCGGCCTAACTTTCTCAGTAGCACAGGAGCAGCTGCAGGTAACGCACATGAAATGGACAGGAGGGCTGTGTGCCAATAAAACTTTATTGGTGAATACTGAAACTTGAACTCCCTATCATTTTCTTGTGTCAGGAGATGTGTGTCCAACCTTCAGAAAAACAGAACAGCCATCCTAGCTCAGGAGCCTGCAGCCGGTGGGCTTTGCCAGGCCGGGCGATAAGCAGGATAGGGCCGTGCTGGACCCCTCCCGCACATCCCAGAGTCTGGGTCTCAGCCCTGGGATGCTGCCTCCCTGTATTACCTGCAGACAAAAAGGAACACGTTCAAGGCCCGGGAGACGGTCGGAGGGGGGCGTGGGGTGGGGACGTATTCTGGGCAGCGACCAGTGGGCAGTGTGTGTCCACTTACTAGATGGTCATGCTACACGGTGAAGACCTTTCTAATTGCATATGTGATACCCAGAGCTGTCTCTTGTCCCACTTTTCATGAAGGGAAAGCGGCTAGATAGTCCCCTGACCTCTGTTTTGTTTCAAGAAACCGTTGCTGAGACGAGCAGAGGACTGGTGTCCCCAGAGAAGAGGCCCAGCATGCCTCATGGAGCTGCCCCAGCTCAAGGTGGCCAGCGTCACCACCCTGCGCCCCAGGAAGGGGCCGGCGCTGCAGCCCCTGATGTGCCGCCGGGTGAACAAGAAGGTAGCTGCTCTCCGGCCCCTGGGTGTGGGTTCCCGCCTGGGCCGAGGCTGAGCCCCGTCCTTTCTCCTCCACAGACAGAGAGCCAGAAGGACTTGGAGCCCAGTCTGAAGCCCTACCGACTGCCCACGATAGAGAGGCGAGCGGGAGGGGGCTGAGCACATGCCCTGCCTCCCGGAGGCACACGTGGTTGGGCGGATGGACTCCTGTCGTCGGGAGGACAACTGCTGTCGGGCAGCGGGGCCCTGTCTGCAGCCGCCAGCCCCAGTGGCCAGCTGGCATGGATCAAGTCAGCGTATTCAGGCCGTGTCTGTAGCTCCCACGGGAATGGCCACAGATGAGCTGGGCTGCGCCTTGTGCAGGGTTCTGCGTGGCTGCCATTTCCAAGCCAGGCTTCCAGAAGGTTCCCTGTGGTGCTGTCGCCCAGAGTGGCTATGCTGGTGGGGACACCAGGTTCTATTAAAGACGGAGGCGTGACCGTGGCAGTCCTGTGCTCTGCTTTCTCACCCGGCCCCGGTGTCCTGCTGTCCTTCCCCTCCCCTCGGGCTCCGGGGCTTGGTGGTCTCAGCGGGAAGGCGTGTTCCCTTGTCCGGGAGGCAGACCAGGTGGCCTCTGATCTCCCCTAAAGTCGCACCTGAGGTGGACGCTGTGCATCTCCAGGGCCCACCTGTGGCCCCACCCGCCTCACGGGGTGGATGGAGGCCCGTGGCCCAGGTGACCACCACACTGGGCAGGGCTTTGGGAAGACCAACAGGCCGCCACGGGGTCCCGGTAGGGAAGATGAGGATGGGCATGGGCCACCGAGGAGAGGGAAGCCGGGTGCGGGGTCGGCTGAGCCAAGGGACCCGTGGAAGGCAAGTTCAAACAGGAAATGAGAGGTCATGGGCTCTGAGGGTCGGTGCTGGTGGGCAGGGCTGGGTAGGTGCCCTCTGAAACCCACCTGAGCCCAGAGTGGCCTCCAGGGGGAAGGGGCGGGGACAGAGGGCTGGAGCCTGGGGTCCCTGTAGAGTGGAAGCCGTGCCACCAGGCAGGGCAGGGCAGTGAGCTGCACAAGGCCAAGGACCAGGTGCAGGATGGACACATTGGCATTCCCCAGGGAACGTATACATGAGGACTAACAAGCCGTGGGGCATTTAAGGAAATGCTCCCTTTAATATGAAGGTAAAGTCCATCTTTAAACTTGATCTTGAGAATAAACTCCGTCTGTGACACCGGTGCCCTCAAAGCTGACCACCCTTGGGTTCCCACGATGCCCTTAATCACCCCACTCCCCACCCAACCCTGTGAGGGGCAGCCCCCAAGCCTTCCTGACCTCAGGGATGTAACAAGACTCTGGTGCCATGTTGGTATCTGGCACACAGTGTCCCAAGTCTCCTGGGCGAGCATCCTGTCCTCTCCTCCCGGCCGCTTGCCACAGGGCCCACAGGTCTGGCTCTGCTGGCCCTCCCTGTGCTAGTAGGTGTGTCCGGAGCAGGCCAGCCCCTGTGCACACACGGGGAGGCCTGCAAGCCTGTGGAGCCCCAGAGAGAAAATGCCAAGGGTCGTCTGGGACAGACGTCTGGGTCCCCTCCAGGCAGGACTGCAGCTCCTCAGGGCAATTCCATTGACTGGCACCTGACCCCTGGGTTGTCCCTAGAGCCCTGGACGGCCTTGAGGCTGTCACACACTTGACCAGCATCTTCAAGAACTGTGAGCAGCCTTCTAGTGCTTGTCACCCTCCGTATTCTCCCTTTCTCTTGGTGGCCAGAGGCGGAGGGAGTGTGGGCTGAGTCAGGCGTCCCTGGGGGGTCAAGTCAGTAAGGGCCCTGGGGGGTCAAGTCAGTAAGGAAGAGGGTTTCTGCACTTAGTTTTCCAAAGTTCTGATTTTCAGAACTCCCCATGACTTCCTGGTTGCTCGCCTAGGACCCCCATTATGTGTGCTCTGCCTTCTATGGGGCCGGCGATGGCAAGGCCACTTGCTGAGACGACAGAAGTCGCCACCTGGCCTGTTGTTGTTAGGTGCCACCCTGTGCATGTCGGAACCAGCCACCACGAGCCTTCATCGTCCACGCGGCCGCTGCTGGTTGAGCCCATTCCGACAGCCTCCGTGTCAATCCATCTCACTGAATGATCCTCTTTTTCCTTGGCCCTCTACTATACCAGGCCCGATCTCACATCTGAGGAGCATTCTGGCTGGACTTCTTCCTAAACAAATTTCCTTGTTCTTCTGGCAGTCCGTTGTACTGTGTGTGTGTGTGTGTATAGATATATCTCTCTCTATATATATATACTTTTTCCTTGCCAGCAGTTTAATTAAAATGCATCTGTTCCTCTCTAGTCTTCCTTCTTCATTGCCCAGTCCTCACACGCACAGGAGGTCACGGGAAACACATGGCTCAGGTCAGGCACCCCTTAGTCCTCCAAGGGATGCCCTTGCACTTGAAAGAGGCCCCGGGCAACAGCTTTACCCAGCGCCACATGCCACTTGGCTTCTTGACTGCTCTGGGTGTTGGTTGAGGATCCACGCACCTTGTCAGTGAATTATCTTCTCTATCTGAGCTCAAAGGCTAGAAACAATTTCTAATAGGAGTTGGCCAACATCCCAACCATCGCCCACTGGGCATCGTCTCCGGTCGTCTCGGCTGGGTGACATGCACTGGGCAGAACCCGTTGGCACTTGGATGTAGCACGGGAGATGACTGCACCCTGTAGCTGTTGTCACCTCTCCTGGGAGGCTGGTGCGGGAGAAAGATAGGGCTTTGAATACCATAAAGAGTTACAGTCTCAGAAGCTCGCCGGGGCAGTCCTACCCTGTCCTATAGGGTCACTGAGCTGGCATTGATTTGGAAGGCACCAGCTGTATCCATCACCACTCCTGCGGCCGATGCCACGTCTCCTGAACAGTATCACCCACTTTTGCTGCACTCTTGACGTCAATGATGACAACGTGGGCGCCGTCTTTTCCAGCCGAAGGCCATTTGGCAGGTCCCTGTTGCACGTGTTCAAGTGGAGAGCTGGGCCCTAACGTCTGGCCAGGTGAAAATGTCCTTCCCACATCCAGCTGTGACTTCATCCATGGGAAGTGTGCCCTCCCTCCTGGTGGCAGCACATTCTACACCTGGCAGGGGCGACAGGTCCCTGGGCCTTGTCCAGAGCTACTGGTTCCGCCAAACAAAACCATCCCGGGGAGCCACTTCCAGGCCTACCTCAGGGGCCACGCTGTGTCAAGCCACAGGCTTTCAGGGACATGAGCCAGCCAGCTTAGCTTGGGGGAAAACAAGGGCGCAAAGGGACCGAGGGCCCTCACCCTCTACAAGTGAGTTGTGCCCTTGAACCCTGGGGCGTCCATCTGATCGTGACTGACAGTGGGTGCCAGTCATAGCTGTGAAGAAAGAATGCCAAACGTCGGAGCTGATGAAACACACAATAGACATGCGGTGTCATGGAGACAATACACACACACACACACACCCGCCCCAAATGAGAAACATCACTCTTAGGTGCTGAATATGACTGCTGAAGGCACTGCACCCCAACTTGCTGGATCACCCCACTGACATGGACAACAGAGTTGATTGCAGTGGTGTGAAAATCAATGCTAGCATATCGGAGGGTGCCTTGGCCCCACACCTCGGTAGCCAGGGTCTGCCACACGCCCATTCACAGCCATTTTCAGCAGCACTGGGCTGGCTGGAGTGCAGCATGAAAGAAAAGACCCCCAGTGAGGGAGTTTCCAGGGGTCTTCCAAACACCTACAGTGTCAAAAACCCATGTAAAACCAAAGGGCCAAGTACCATTTATAATAAGACAGCAATGAGGGGCTTTCTGGTCTAAGAGGTAATTTGACACTATGTGTGTGTGCACGCGTGTGACAAAATGACATTGGCGTCCTTTAGAATAAGCAGCCACACGGGCCCACATCTCAATTTCTTACTGCAGCCTCAGAAGAGTGGTTTGAAAGCGGAAGTGACGTCCTTGGGCCGGCCGCCACGTGCTGGGCCCAGGTTGGCTGCGCCTCCTCCGTGCAGCACCTACGCTCTGCGTCCTCAAGCCTGGAGAGCTGCTGGGGTGCACCCATCTGTCCGAGTCAGCAGTGGGGCTGCTACCCTACAGTCCCACCTGGAGAACAGGCCTGGTGTGGGGACAAGACGCCCTGCAAACAAAGCAGACGTTACTCTCACCTCCTTAGCCAGGCAGCTTTCTCAGGGGCAACACCAGGGGAAGGCTGGGCTGCGCTGGAAGATAGTATGTTCAAACGTCATTCCTATCCAGATGGTCTGCAGGCCTAGCGGGCCTCGGCCCCCTGCCTGGGTTGTGGGGTGCACGGGCCTATACTGGTCACTGTGCCTGTGGACATGCACCCCGCCCAGAGCTCATGGTCAGCTTCCAGGAGGGGATCTCAATTCCCTGAGGTGGGCAGTGGCAGCCCTTAGGCATGTAGCAGGCCTGGCAGGGCACAGGGGCAGGGCCTTTGGAGCAGATCCTGGCCAGACAAAGCTGAGGGCTTCATCCGGGCTTCTCTTCCCTTGTGGGGAGACTGTGTCCCACACGGCCTGGCACACTCTATTCCAAGGTCTAAGGTTACAACAGTACAGTGAAGCCACACCCTTTCAGGGTCTCAAGTCGCCTTAACCCTGAAGCTGGCCGACGCTTCAGTGGGGCATTGCTCGTGGACAGAACGCCTTTAAACAAACACTGCACATCTTCCCAACGCTGGACCGGTGGCAGCACCGGAAATGGGCCTTCAGCCCTGACCCGTGACCCCACCACCTGGCTGGAGGGACCAGCAGGTGGAAATCCCCCAACTGTCACTTCATCTGTATCTGATCTTGGAATGGCTAACAGTTGCTCTAGACGGGGCGGGGAGGCACATGGCATGGGAGGGGCAAGCCGCTGGCCCTGGTCAGTCTGGGGGCCCCAGCAGTCACTGCGGAGGAGCCGGCGTCTTGCTCCAACCCACAGGAGGTCATCCCTGGGAGGGACGTTCTCATGAACAGTGCCACCAGCTGGGCTGTGAGGTTCTGCCCATTTGAGGGGCCTCTCCTCGAGGCTGGATGGAGATTGTGGACAAGAGGGAGGGTGGCAGTAAGCGGGTGGGAGGAAGGGTGTCTCTCTGAGCCATCTGTCTAGGACAGGCTCCCTCCCCTCCCACCACCGTTGTCCCAAAAGGCTCAGACTCCAAAGACATCTTGACAGTCATGTGACCAACCAGTCACTCTGGAACCCCTCCTCTGGACTCCCGGGTCCCAGCCGAAGGTCAGGGCTTGGTGATGGGGTTCTGGTAAGCAGGTCGGACCTGAAAATGGGTCCCCATGCAGCCAAGCCGCTGGGCTGATGCTAGGTGTCCCAACCATAGATCCAGGCTCGTTTGTTAAGCAGCAGCCTGTGCTGACACTCAGCCACTGGTGGGCCACAAGGGGCCCCCCACTCTCTGGTGGCACTGAGAAGGGGAGCCCACAGACCTGAGGCTGGCATGCGGCAGCTGCTGCAAGTGGGGTGGACAGAGGCGGGCAGCCTGGGCTGGGCTAAAAGGGTGGCATGAAGCTGTTTTCTGGGGAGCCCCTTTCCCAAGACCTCCACGGTTCCTCAAGCCACAGGGGGCCCTCTCCAGAGAGCAAATGGATGTCGTGGTCACTGGTCCCCTAACTTGGTGCCAGGTGGGCACAGAGCTGGCCCGGTGCTGCCTGCTTCTCCCTATGGTGACCCTGCACCCTGAGGCAACATCCCTGGGGCCAGGGAACAGACCCCTCACCACCCTGTAGAAAAATAGCCCAGTCCCCCACAGTGCTTGGGCACAGCTCCTTGTCCACCAGGAACCAGATGGCTAAGTTAAGAACTGCAGGGCATGCAGGTAGGACCCTGGTGGAGAGGGGGCCGCCCCATGGCCTCAGAGGGACCCCTCTGGGTGGCTGCTAGCTGGAAGCTGATGGAGGGCTCTGCTTTCGAACCCGAGGGGGCAAAGCACCCCCAGCCCCGCTCTGTGGGATCACCATGACCTGCTGACGTCACACCTTGTTTCACGCGAATGCACACGAAGAGGAACAGGCGCACCGCCACGCAAGGAACCTGTCCCTTCCTAGGCCTTGGGCCACAGCAGCCCCAGGTAATCTCCAAGCAGGCTGCCCCCTCTGAGGTCTGGCCCTGGGCCTCAGGACCCACCGAAGTGGCCAGTAGATGGCCGAGACCCTTGCGAGCCTTACTGAGAGTTCTGGATGTGAGAACTTTTTCTGCAAACTGACACCGTGGCTCCTGGAACCTGCTGGGATCCGTGGGAGGGGCCTTCACCAACTCTCAGGCCTGTCCCCTGGGGGGCAGGGCTGGAGCAGCCCAGTGAGGTGGAGGGGAGGGGGCGTGGCTGCACACTTGGTCCTGGATGATGGGCAGTTAATAATATAACAGGAGGTGGGTTTTTCTTCTGAAAAGGGGGCAGTAGGTCCCTTCCATTTGGGGAGCCAGGAAGCGGTGCTTGGCTGGGGCAGGGAGCCAAGTGCCACCTGCAGCATCACCTGGGGCTGGCTCGTCTCAGAGGGAACTCCACCTGCCAAGAGCTCCTGCGGGGACTCCCAGCCATCACAGGGATGTTTCTGGAGAGGATGAAATGCTGAGGAGTGACACCGGATGGCCGCCCTCCACAGCGCCGGACCTACTTCTTCACTGCTGGTCGCCTGCACCCCTCACTGAGTGGGGAGACCCCAGCAGACCAGGGAAGAAAGGGCACCATGGAGTTTAGGGCACGGGAGGCCACAGCCCCGAGCGAAAGGCAAGGAGCGTGGAGGGCGCCCCCCTCACGGCCCATGGCGGACGGCTCCAGGTTTCTGACCACGGCCTCAAGAGAAAGGCCACCCAAAGCCTCTCAGGGGCTCCTGGGAGCCAGCCAGGAAAGCACTCGTCGTGACCCCAGGCCCACCGCCTGGGGTCATTTCTCATTTCCTGTTGGGCAGAGCCGGTGGCAGAGGCCAGCGGGACGAGTGGGTGGCCTGCTAGCTAGCTCCTCTGCAGAACTAACAGAATCTCGCTGCTGAGCTCTCTCAGGCCAGAGGCCGACTGGGTGCTGAGAAAAGCGCGGGACTCTGACAGGCTGGCCCTTGGCCCGGGCCTCTCCACGGAGCATGCAGCAGGAAGAGGGGCCGGGCCCTGGAGATGCCTTGGCCACGCGCTGGCAGCACGGGCAGGGTGACGGGAGGGCCTGACGTCCCCGTGGGGAGCGTCGGGTGGTACAGGCTGGAGTCACCCCAGGCGGGCAGCCTGCTGACCTTCCTGGGCCATTGAGGAAACAGGGGGGCAGGGAAGGGAAGTGGGGCAGGAGACCCTGCCTGGGTCAGCCCCGACTGGGCCACCCTGTGGTAGGGCCTTTTGGGTATGGGCCTGGAAGACCTGGGGGTGGAGGAGGGAGGGGACGAGATCTCAGGGCAGGTGACCTCAGTGGCCCTGCTCCGCACGCGATTCAGATGAGACACCCAGCTTGTGCTCCAAGCGCTGCCGGCCCTGGGCGTGCAGGTGCCACAGGGCGAGGCCCACACTCGTCACTGCAGGGCTCACCCAGGCCTCTCCTTCCGCAGCATGGAACAAAGCTTTCCTCCCGGGGTTTCACTCAGACTGGGAAGCTCCCGGGGTACAAAAGACCACTGACAAGTATCTACGCTTGCAATTCATTCACACGGTTTTATTTCATGTCGGAATACAGAGGGCAATCCCCCAAACCCCAAAGTACTTCCTGACATCAAGTATAGAGTGTCAGAGTGACAGGTGGACAGCTAAGGACGGAAGCCGTGAGGACAGAAACACGGCTCTCTTCAAATGAAGAGAGACCACCACTGGTGTGAGTACACCCAGGATTATTGCAACAGGTATAGACCCCACGTGCCCGCGTGGGTCTGCCTCTCCCGGCCCTGATCCCACCGGCAGGAAGTCAGAGGGGTGGGAAAGGCACCCAGTGGAGCTCTGGGGAGGATTGTCATGGAAGGCCACCAGGCCACACAGTTTGTACAGTGCCGCCTAACACGGCGCTCTAACAGATGCAGCCAGACAGGAATCCCAGGAATGCAGAAGCCTGGCTCTCACACGCTCGGACACACAGTTCGTGGAGTGGGGCAGCAATGGCCAACAGCAGGCATGGCATGGGAGGGGGGACGGGGGCGGGCCCTGCCTGGGGCAGGGAGTTAGGGCATTTTCTTCTCTCCTCACCCCATGTTGCAAAGGGACATCCTCAGCACAGGTGCTTGGGGCGGCGAGCGCGGACTTGCCCGCTGGTGTTCTGTGGCCACCTCCACCTCCTGAAGCTGTGATGGGCGCATGCACGCGCACGTGTGTGTGTGTGTGTGTGTGTGTGTGTGTGTGTCAGGGCCATGAGGGTCCCCTGCTGTGCCAACAGGGTGGGGGGCAGTCAGCTTTCACCATCGATGCCTTTGTGGCTTATAAGGTCCCTTGACCCCATTCCCCATCCCACGTGCTGGGAAGGACATATAGAGGCCAAGAGTCCTCACATGTCCGGCTGACAGGGCACTGACCTTGGCCATGCCTACACACCAAGGGCACCATAGGCAGCTTCTCGGGGAGCCCCAGGGTCTGCTGGTCACCAAGTACACAAAAGGCTGGGGCCCTTAGGAACCTCTTTGAGCCTGAGCTTGCTTACCACCCGCCCTCCCAAGTCAGTCCCCTCCCCTGGCAGGCAGCCTCGAAGACCCTGTCACAGGGGTGGGACCTAACAAAACAGCTTGGCCGGCTCAGCAGGAACGTCGTACCTGTTTAAATGGCTTCAAAATTCGTGATGCCGTGCCGCACAGGAAGCATTGGGAGGCTTGGAAGAAGGCCTGCCAGCCACCTGCCAGCAGGCCTGGGCATGGAGAGAACTACCGAGTTCCAGGGCACCTGTGGGAACTGAGGCCTCAAATCCTTGTGTTTTCTCTGTGTACTTCCAAGTGTCTGTGAGGCCGTGCTCCTACGTTAAGGCACTCCCTGCTGCTGGTCCCACGCCCAGCGCTCGCGCGTGGCCCACTCCCTTTCTCACACAGGCTGCACCAGGAGGAAAGGACCTGGAGTCTTCACCGCCAGCTACCCACACACAGGCCTGGCGGAGACACTGTCCACCCGACATCCAGGGGCGCTTCACTAACCACATGGAAGGCCGGGAAGGGCTGTGGGAGTTCTCAGTGAGGGTGAGGGGCCCACAGATTTGCCTTCACCAGAAGGCACAGTTTCCCAAAGGACCCTTCCCTTCCCAGGGGTGCTCCTTCTCCACCGCATCTGGGGGCGGGGGTGGGGGTGGGGGGGGTGGAAAGCCACCTCCCCAGTCTCAGCAAGCCTGGCTTCTGCAGCGATCGACGCTGGAACGGAGACAAGCCAGAAGCAAGTTGGATGTTGCCCAGTGGCCCCTGCGTACCTGGGCCCTTCCTGTCTGTTGCAGGCCGGCACCTCCAAAGCCAACTGAGGACCACCCTCTGTCCCCGGGGGCCTGAGCTTGGGTTGCTCATGAGGGTATGGGAGCTGAGGGACCTGGAAACCCCCGAGAGCAGCTCAGTTGGATGAGAGGAAAAGTGGCCACATGAGCCTGCTGCCAGCCCCTGCCCCCCGGGGTCTGCAGGAGCCAGGACTCCAGGGCACAAGCCCTCTCCTCCTCCTCCTCCTCCTCCTCCTCCTCCAGGTGCCACTCGCGCTAGCTGTGGTCGTGGAGAGCACCCCGCACTCGGTCCTCCTGGCGGGAGGGGATGGGCTCAGCCAGCTGTCAAAGAAAGGGCAGCGAGTCAGAGGCCACTCTGCTGAGGCAGCTCAGGGCCAGTCAGATTGGCTAGGGTGGGCAGTGCCCCACACCTGGTGGCCAGCAAGCGTAGGGGTTTGGGAGGGGAGGTGATCCCATACCGATGCCAGGCAGGCATTGGGATCATGCACCAGAGGGAACAGGGAAAGGGCGAGTGTGACCAAGGTCCCAAAGCCACACTGCAAGGTTCCACAGGGGGAGGGACAGGGAAGTACCTCTCAGACCCGGTCTTCCAAGGAGACAGGATGCGCCCCCCAGACACCACACTCAGCATGCTGAATCAGGGGAGGAGGCTAGGAAGCAGAGGTCTGAACCGCTCTGCTGTAGATAGCTGCTGCCACCCCCACCACACTTACCTGTCCTCACCACCCTCCCTGTCGGCTGAGTCCTAAGTCTGAGATTTGGAAACTGCATACACAATGCCTCTGAAGCATTTGAAAGAGCATTTCTAAATCCATGAAGCTGCCTGCAGTTGCTGTGGACCTGGGGCACTCAGCTAGCCCATGTCCAGTGACATTTAGGGGTTGACAACCAGGTCTCTGAGCTGGGAGGACACCTACACCCACACCCCCAAGCCTAGATTTAGTAGTGGGGACACTTGGCAGCTGCCTGGGAAGGCGGCCAGGGTGTTCACCTGGGGGGTGGGGAGGACCGGCCTTTGAGAGGCTGGCCTGGCGAGGAGGGCAGGGTGTCTGCTTCAGGGAGCCCAGTCTCCAGGTTTTCCACTTTCTCAATCACTCAAACCAGCATTGATTATCATCATCTCTATATTTAATTACAAAGGTGTGTAAAACAGAAAAAACAAACCTAAATGTCCCCAATAAGTTAACAAATAAGAGAATGACCACCTTGACATAAAACACAGAGCCCAGAGGACCATGGCGTCCATTCTGGAAAGGAAGTGCTGGCACAGCCATAAGGTACGGAGGAGTCACAATCAATACTGCAGCAACCCCAAAGCAGGGTCCGGGCCACAAGATGTGGACCATGGGCGGCCACCAGACCTGGGAGCCTGGGGGGAAGACATGGAGTGGTCAGGAGCCACCCAGTGAAGACAGAGCCCTAAGCCCATGATCACCACCAAATCCTAAGTAAGGGGGTCCTGGCCTGGGACATGCGCACTCTGGAGAGGCCTGGGGCCTGGGCCCAGCAGGGAGGGTGCCAAGGCCCATGCATGCCCCGAGTCTTCCCAAAACAAAGCAAGGGGTCTGACCACAGCCTGGCCTTCTAACCAAAAACCAAATACAGGAAAACCTCCTTTTCCCTCACCGGAAAAAAAAAAAAAACCCAACATAAGCAAAGAGCGTCAGACAGGACAGGTCTCGGCTTCTGTGGCGAGAGGCACTTGGACAGCAGCCCCGGCCAGGCCCACAGCGGCTCTCCCTGCGCAGGCTCAGGGCAGCGGGGCGCCCGGGGCACAGATGCACTCAGAATCCCAATCAACGTGCTACAAACGGCTTCTTTGAAAAAAGATGTTTATTAAACAATTTTAATTGTCATAAAATGACTAAAATGGGCTTTAAAAATTAAGGCTCTTCTCTCTCTGTGGATTGCCAGAACAATGTAAAAATAATGTCAACCAACCCTGCTGAATGCTTCATTCCGAAGGTTAAATTTCATAGATTCCTAAATACTGTATGATTAAGGTAAAAAACGGGGGCGATGGGTGACAATGGCCCGCCACCTGTCCTGAGCGTCCCCAGACAGGTGGGCGCAAGTCTAATTGAGGAGGTGAGCAGTCTGATCTGGGGAAAGCAGAAACTTTAATTTTAGCCGTTGAAGTCTGTGCCGCCCCCCCCACCATGATTCTGCTAAGTTGAGGGGGAGGGGAAATCCTAGTGCAGGAGCGCTAACTGTGGGCTCTATATGCTCCCAGGAGGGGGGCTGGCGGGGCTGGCAATTAGTCTGATTATAGATATAGTTTTAAAACGCTCTATGGTGAATTATCAAATGATTCGGAATTACATGGCATGCAGTATCCAAAATTATGGCTCTGATGCGTTGAGATTTACATTAAGAATAAAGAAGTGCCATTCACAGTCATTGTACACCCTGCCCACCCGCCACCCCCCTCCCCGCCACCCCTGCCCGCCCTCCTGGGAGCCCACAGCCGGGGGCGGCCCGGCTTGGTGCAGCATTAAGGATTAAAACTTACCACTTTACCCGGCCTTCCCCAAGTGCAAATAAATCCCTCCTGACAAGCAGTGACTATACAGTCTTCAAGAAAGATTAGCACCGTCAGTCTCTCGTGTGCTATCTTTTTACAGATCAGCGGCTCTAACAAGGGCACCTCCTCCATGCGCGGACACAGGGCTGTGCCCAGAGTTTTCGCAGGGTCCGACTTGGCTTTGGCCACGAGGTTCAGCCTGTCGCTGCTCTTGCTGGAGATGTGTCCCATGCTGTGGTTGCGCTTGTGGTCTTTCTCGTGGTGCCGCTCCTTCCGGTCATGCAGCGAGAGGGTGGCGAACTTGCTGACCCCAGAAGCAATGGCACCGTCCACCACACTGCTTTTGCTGCCGGCGCTAGAGACGGCCGAGTGGGGGAGGCTATTGGACCGCGGGAGCGGGGGGGGCACGGAGCTCCCCGGGGTGGTGACGCTGTTCCCGTTGCTGCCGGCCGGGGGGCTGGTGGCGTTCATGACATTCGTGTGTGTCCGTGCTCTGGAGAGGGGCTGGTGGGGGAAGAGGATGTCCTCTGTCAGGTCCCACAGACAGAGCTGCGTGTCCTGGCCCACGGAGCCGAACCGGTAGGTGACACTGACAGGGCGGCCGTCTGTTGAGTTCCGTTTGGACAGCCGGGACTGCGTGCTGTTGGCCCGGTCTCGGCCGAAGTGCAGGAGGTCCTGGAAGTCCTCGTCGCTGCCGCTGAACTCCATGGGGTCGCTCTCTTCCACACTCGTGGTGTAGGGGTCAAATGCCACCACACTGACCCAGGACTTGTGCCCGTGGCCTCGCGCAATGACGCGGCAGTCCACAAAAGACCAGACGGTCACCAAGTCGTCCTCGCCGCCCGTCACAATGTACTTGCCATCGGGGCTCCAGCAGACGCAGAGCAAGCCCCCAAAGTAGCTCTTCATGGTGCCGTGCAGCTCCACCGAGTCGAAGTTGAACACGCGCAGGAAGCCGTCCTGGCTCACACAGGCCAGGAACTTGCCGTCCGGGGAGAAAGCAAACTCGTTGAGGGCCCCCTCACCCACCGTCCATTTGAGGAGGGGGTTCCGCGTGGATTTGCTCTTGCAAGTGTGCACAGCGAAGCTCTCGCCCTGCTTCAGGAGCTGGTAGTGGGGTGCGGTGGTGCCACAAGTGTGCTCCACGTTATACAAGTACATGCTCCCACTAGCGTGGGCCACCAGGAAAAGACTTTCCGAGCCGGGCACCCATTTGACACAGGTCACGCGTGACTTGTCTATGAGTCTCTGTGAAGACAAAGGAGAGCAGGTTATCACCACGGGGCGGCCTCACAGCCCCACGCTTCCACAGGCAAACCGGCTGCTGCTCAAGCTAAAGGCCCCTGGTCAGTCCCACCAGCTGGGCACCATGGCCTTGGACACTCCCTGGCCTCTGGCACTCTCTGCTCTGTGGCACGCATTGGCCCCAGACCTCACTAGATAGCACCGCCTCCTGTCCCCTCACTGCTAGGAGAGCACAGGGGGTGCGACCCTCCCTCCTGAGTGCTGTCCTGGTCTATCTTGATAAGCGTCTCCTCAAGTCCCCCTATGGGACCAGGGGGACTAACAGAAGTTGCTAGGCAATTCATTCAGAAGCCAAGTTGCTACCACTCTAGTCTGGACCAGCTGACCGAGGACCTAGACTAGCCTTAACAGAACAACCACTCAAAGGTATGGGCCCACGTGAGGATCACTGGCTCAGTGTAGCCAACTGCATCTACCCTCATCACCGGAATCCACCTGGGGGCGGAAGGTCTACCCCCTGCATGCCCCCACATCTCGGCCCCAGTGGAGCCAGGCGGACTCCCAGAGTGCCCTGGTCAGCGGGGCCCAGCACGAGTTTCGGACCAAGCTGGTCTGTCCAGTGGGGGAGAGGGGACCTCTGCTGCTTCTAGTGTGCCCATTGTGCCCAGGGAGGCTGGCATCCCACGGAGCTCTAGAGAAGAGGGATGTGCTGAGTGCCGGACGTGCTGGGGAAGGTGGTCTCCGAGGCTGGTCATGGGCAGATGAGCCTGCTCAGAATACCTAGGGTCTGGGCTCAGGACAGAGACAGCGTGGCCCTGGAAGCATGCCCTTCATGCCCCTCCCCTTTTCATGCTGGTGACTGACCTAGAAAAGTACACCGGCGTTACCACCACCACCTAGCACTCCTCTGGCAGGTGCCATCAACCGTGTGGATGCTTCTGCGGGGCCACTTTCAGGCCAGCCTGGGGCTGGGGGACGTGGGACAGGCCCAGGGACCATGTTGGTGGGGTGGCCCCACCTGCTCCCTCATCTTGAGCAGGTATCCCCCGACTCCTCACTGGGACCTAGTCCAGCTGCCGATCAAAACGAACTTCAGGCTGGGGGTTTGGCCTGCTGCCTCACCTCCTATTTCTCATTTCTGAGAGCCTTCCGGTGCTAACAACACTCAGCACTCAACACGGTGGAAAGGACATAAAAAATGTTAGCCATATGGTTAGGAGTAAGTTTTATTTTTAGTTAAAAAAAAACAAAATCCACAATAAAAATAACTCCACTCGAGTGTGACAACAGTCCTGGCTTTGCCACCGGGATCATCCAGAGTGAGAGGCTTCAGGACCGCTGTTAAGCAGCTGGGGAGTGTGTGTGTGTGTGTGTGTGTGTGTGTGTGTGCATGTGTGTGCGCGGGGGTGGGGAGGTGGGGCTTGAGCACCTCTGCCATGGGTTCTCGGTGGGAGGAGACAGCACAAAATGGAGGCTGACTCCGGGGCCAGTGCTGGTAGCCCTCAGTGGCCGTGCTCCTGCCGGCAGTGTCCACTAAGGGGTGGGGCAGTTTTGCACACACGGCAGGGAAGGACAAGAAGTGAATGTACTTGATCAGGGATGGTAAAGGCTCTGGATGAAAAAACTAAGCAGGCGAGGGCACAGGAAGAGCTGCTGGAGGGTAGGGGTCTGGGGAGGGTTGGTGGGGGAGTGCCTCTCTACAGTGGCAGAGAAAGATGGACAGCTGAGTAAAGGTCTGAGGACACCAAACAATAGGTCCAGAGGGCACCGGGGCAGAATGGTGCCACGACTGAATGGGAGGGGCAGGAGGTTCGAGACAGAGAAGGGGCCCAGCGTTAGAGAAGTGGGAGCCATGTGCACACAGGCTCTCGGACTCCCAAAGCCGGGGCAGAGCACAGGGACCAGCCGCTTGCTTCTCTGTGGGCATGGCAGTGCGGGGCTGGGCTGGGAAGAGATGACTACCCACTCCCCGGGGCTGTTGGGCAACACGCACTTGCGAGGTGTGCTCAATCCTGCCGGGCAGGGCTGCTGACAGAGGGGCAGGACAAGGGAAAGTCGGGCTGCAGTTGCGCTGTGTTCCGAGGGGCTCTCTTAGTTGAGAAGTAAACCCCAGGCCTTTCTTGTGAGGCCCCTTTGGACCAGTAGTCCAGCCATGGACAATGAGCACAACCTGGGCCCCCGCCTTACTGAGTTCTCTGGAGCCCACGGAGAAGGAATGGTCGGGGAGAATGACACCCAGACCAGGGGGCTGAGCAATGGGTGACACAGGATAAAGCCTGGCAGAGCAGCAGGAAGACCAGAAAGCGGGACTGGAAGTCGACGCAGGTGCCTGGGAGAGGGGATGGGGCTGGTGTCCCGAGAGGCTCCGAGGCCTGGAATCTCAACTGGAGGCTGAGGGTTGAGGAGAGGAGGCCAGTTCTCTGTGGCACAGAACCACAGGCCCTGCTGGTGGTTGGGGGAACGGACAGACCCAGGTTGGCTGGAGGTGGCAGCTCTGGCAGAAGGGTCTGAGTGGAAAACCCGCCAGAACCTCGGCTGATCACCACACACAAGTACGTGGTACCAACAAAAAGCCTGTCACTGTGGCAGAGAGCCCCAGCGACATCAACTGCTAACTGCAAAGCCAGGCTTGAAGCCACCTGGCTGCTCTGCAGGTGGACGGTGAGCTGACTGCCCTCTACGTACTTCACTGGAGCAGATCTACTCTGTCCCATGGGGGTCACGATGAGGAAGAAAGGACTCTCAAACACCAGGGTGCGCTTGCGGAAGAACGGCTGAGCCATCCCCTCAGAGCTCCTGTCTCCTGCCTTCCCTCCTGCTGCAAATTCTGAAAACAAAACCAACAGTCCGAGGTTGAGGCAGCCGCCCAACAAGGACGAGAGCAGCAGTGAAGCCCCACCCACCAGCACGAACGCCGTCCAACACGCTGTGTGTTACAAGGAACCAGAATGGAAAGAAATCTAACCGCAGTCTAGCATGGTGGTCAAATAATCTAACTTGAATGTAGGCTTCTTAGATGCCCACAGGGTCTCCCTCTTCCCTGCTCTCAGCGGCAAGCAGGGGACTGACTGGTGGTCAGCTTACAGCCCAGGTGTATGTTGACGACCGGAATTCGGCCAGAGCAGACAGCCCCAGCCCAGCAGCTGGTGGTGCAGGCCCAGCAGCCCCAGCAGACGCAGTGGGCAGACCCAAAGCTGTGCTGCAGAGAGTGAGTCCTGGTGGTGGGTCCCCCAAAGCTTTAAGGAACCGATTACTCAGGGCCCGTTTCCTTCCCTCCATCAAAAAAAGGAGTGAGCTCACCCACTCTTGTGGTAAAGTCAGTCAGGGACAGGCTGATGCTCCCCTGCTCCCCAAACCCAAGGCCTTCTCTTCCCACGGTTTTGATCCGAAAAGTAAAAACCAAACTCACAGCCAGGGCTGACTCCGACTCACAGAGACCCTAATGGGACAGGCAGAGCGGCCCTGTGGGGAGTAGAAACCCCGTCTTTCTCCCCGAGGTACAGCTGGTGCTTTCAAACTGCAGCCCAATGCTTAAACCAGTGCGCAGAGAGGCAGGGTGGAAATGCTGGCTGCCTGCCCTTTGGCCTCATCGCTGAGAGCAGGGCAAGCCAGGGCAACAGTTCCCAAAGCAGCCGGGGCAAGCACTTTGCGAATTTCATATTTTAACCAACAATGAAAACCACACTCGGAGAGTGAGGAGGCTCACCCTTTGGGGTTGTCACCCTGAGAGAGATCATCAGGAAGCCAGCGAGGACTCCCACATCCCTCGAGCACTACCCGGCAGCCCTTCTCGGCCCTTCAAGTACAACAGGCAAGGCTGGCCTGAGCTCTCTCAACTGAGGCCCATTCGCTGCTGTCAAGGGCACAATTTGCTTGGGAACAGAATGCCACAAAAAGAAACCCAGGTTTAGAAACACTCTGCGCAGGGAGCTAGAGGAAGTGCAAGGGCTTCTGGAGTGTCCCAGAGTGCAGGGCTGGCTTAGGCTCCTGATGTGGGTCACACTTAGGGTGGTGTCTCCCCAGAGGGCCTTCAAACCATCAGATGATGATGACCGTGCACAGGGAGCACACTCTGCCTGTCCAATCATCCAGCACTGTCACCCTTATACTGCTTAATCTAAACCCGTCTACCGAGCACGCCTGGATTCCAGGGTGGGGGCCTTTCCTGCAGTGTCCTTCCTCTCACACTGACGTCTGAGATGACCACTGCTCCTGTACCGGGCACAGAGAGGAGGCAGAGTGGGGCTGGCCACACTGCAGAGGAGTGTGATAAGGCAGGGAGGCCTGGCTGCCCCGTGGCCAGCACAGGCTTTGCTCCGCCAGCTCATCTCTTCTCCCGGGAAGTGTCCAGTTATCCTTCATCCCCCCAGGAAGTTTCCCCACTCCCCACCCCCAAGCAAAAACAGGCCACCCAGTGCCCTGCCTTGAGCATGGCTGTGCCTGTCCGGGCTGCCCTCAGGCCCTTCCAGTGGACATGGCTGGGGAGGGGCGGCGGCAGCAGGGCCAGGCACCAGGTGTTCTGGCTCAGCTTCTGGGCTAGACAGCAAAGGCACGGTAACCAGGAGCCTGCTCTGAGCTCTGCATGCTCTGCTGGGTGAAGGGAGAAGCTGCCTTGCGTTTGGAGCACTCTGATCAGGGCTCAGTTGCAGGCTCTCTCCTTCCTCTCATGAGACTTTCTCTACAGACAACCTGTCTCTGAGGTCCCACAACTGTGCTACACTGCTGTCTGGGGATTCTGACTCAGGTCTACCCGTGAGGGTGGAGCAGAGAGCAGACTGCTTCCTGGGTTTCCTTGCTTGTAATTTGAACTGAAGCACATCACCAGGCCTTTGCTTCTGCAGTATAGCTGGCTGGGTTCAAACTACCCTCCTACAAGTCAGGGGTAGCGAATACTGCTTGCACCACCCCCTTTCGGACCTCCTTTATATGCTAACACCCCCAAACTTGTACCTCCAGTTTTGAGCTCCAGATCTGTCCATCCAACCAGCTCCAGGTGAGGTTTACAAGTACCAAAGAGGGAAGCTCTGCTCCTGGCCGTCTCCCCAGGCCTGCATGTGCTGAGGCTGCCATCTCGAGAGGGCCCGGAACCCAGCCAGGCACACTCTTCCCAGGTCAGCCTCCAAGAGCAGTCAGGTTGCTTCTCAAAGCCTGAAGGAGTCACTGGTGCTCCTGCCCTTCTCTACAGGTTCGAAGCTGTGTCAGAGAGTACTTGAGAGAGCCACCTGCAGCCTCAGGGCCTGTGCAGCTCTGTCTCCTCTCTGTCCTTCTTGGGGTAACATGACCAGCCTCAGTGCGGGCCCAGCCTTCAACTGCGGGCCCCTCTGCAGGCCCCCTGCCTCCACCTGCTCCTCAGGTAGGGCTCAGATAAAAGGTGATCCGCCTGAGCGCACCTACATAGGTAAGCACGCACAGGTGTGTGAATGTCTCGCACCCTGGCCCACTCCCCTCTTCCATCACCAGCCAGAGCTCTAAGAACACACCGAGGGGGCTGCAACTTCCTCTCAGACCAAGGGACCGGGAGCACAGGAGGGCAGACGCCGGGCCAGGTGGAGGTCTGGCTCTCAGTTACTAAAGCCTCCTCAAGGGTCCTGCTGCCTCCGTTCTCTGTTAACAAGTGTTGAAAAAGCCTCAGCGATGCTATCGCTCCCTGAGCCACCGTGAGCTCTGCCTCTCCAGAGCTGGAGGCCTTTCGTGCCCTGCAATGCCCTTCAGGGTCCACCCACCTCAAATGTCCCCTTTGGGAAGCCTTCCCTGGCGTCCTCCAAAGGGCCAGCTCCCTTGATTACCTGGATTCACAACACACTGAGAGCATGGGTGACACATGACCCTGTATTCCCACAGCCTTCTGAGCAGCCTCCGGGCTACTAGTCAGCCTCTGTCCAGCCATGGGAGGGTGGGGCTTATAGCCAAGGATCCCTGGGTCCAATCTCACCACTCCCTGGCTACCTAACCTGGAAAACCCCCTTGTCCTCCTGGCTGACATCTGTACAACAGGGATGGAGCAGGACATGAGAGCACCCTGCTGAGCCCAGTTAGATGACCCCACTCTCACAGCCAGCTGGGGCAAACCATGTGGCGGGCAGTGTCAGCAATACCCAGGCCGAGCAGCCTGTCACCCGCCTTCCACATGAAACCCACCGGGTGTGAGAGGCCTTCAGCTTGCTCTCCAGCCTGCCCCCAAAGGCACCTCGCCCGGGGTCTGCTGGTGCCGCCTGCACTCCATTAAGGCTTCGCTACCCTCCCCCACCGATGAAAACACAAGCGGCTCCTTGTTCTCTAAGTGGCATTCTGTGCCATCCGTGGCCGGAGCAGCCTCCGGGTCTTGCTTGCCAACAGGTCTTTACATGGCCCCCTCCTTCTACAACACAAACAGAGTGCCACGCTGCTGCCCAATGGCCAAGTACCGTCAGTGGTCAGGCTGCTCCCACCCCCACGCCCCAGCTCCCAATAGTCACGGCTCAGACGGGGCCAGGAAAACACCTGGTTAAATCAGAGCACCATGTCCACTGAAGGCTTGTCAGAGGGAAGAGAGGGAGACGCTTTTCCTGGACAACGGCCGGCTGTGTCTGCAGCCAGCCACGTGAAACTGCATGAGGGGACGGCCTGGCGCCCGGCAGCACCTAGATGGATGAACGCTGGGCATGCGAGGCAGCTCGCACCAGGGCCTGCCCACGAGCCATGAGGGTCACACCTGTCCAAGCTGAACACGCCTCTCCAAACAGAAGCCTTTCTTAACCCCAGACCCTCCAACAGCAGAACCATGCAGCAATGAATACAAAGGCCTCGGTCCCCTCTGGAGAGAGGGGCCCACGTGACGCGGCCCTCTTCAGAGAGAGCTGAGGCCTCGGCAGAGACCAGCAGTCTGGGCTGCTTCTGCACCAGCCACCTCGTCTTTCCCAGTCAGAAGAAAGGCAGGCTGGGCCTGGGAGTGATAGATGGAAACCCATCAGACAGGGAGCGGTGATCTCTGAGGCAGAAAGTCTGTGCCGATGGCTTTGACCTGTAGTATCTCTCTGACCACTCCAGACACTCCCTGAGCAAAGCGATCAGCACCTCGAGCACTTCCCGGGATGCCAGAGAGACTTTACAGTACACAATTTTTGGGACAAGCCACCACCGTTACCTTAGCCGAATGCCCACCAAATGCACGCATACACACAAGCACGTTCATTTAAGTAGCCTAACGAAAAGCCATCAAGGCCATGACTCGGCATGGCATTTTCTGATGGTGTGGATCAAGTCTGGAATTCCTTTACAAGACACACACCGGTCAGGCCCTCTCTCAGTGGGAAGCACATGCTGCTGCCTGCCCCTGGGCATGCTCTGTCAAGACACACAGCACAGAGACCCCAGAGGGCAGGGGAGTTAGCACAGTTACACGTGACCCGACTGGGCCGGATGGCTGCGGGGTGGAGGGGGCTCAGCTCATAGGGTAACAGAAAGCCCGCCACCCTTGGTAGGAACAGATGGAGTCTTAAAGGGATGCTTAAGAGCTAAGATGGGGTGCTACTTACTTCCTCATTAAATAGTTTGCTAGTTTCTTTTTTGATTGGGTCTATAAGCTGGACTTGGCCTGCGGAAAAGCCCACTAGGAGAGAGACACTTTCTGCTGTGGCTGTTAGGTGGTTGAAGTCATGACAAGTAGGCTGTGTTCCTTTGTAAATCCTTTTATCTATTGGTTTACTCAAGTCAGCAGCCTGGAGGAGAGAGAGAAAAATACACACGGTAAACAGCACGTTGAGATGAACACGCTACGTTACACTACGTTATCTCCATTCGCAGTTTTCATCGTAACAGCCAAGTTAGTTACAAGCTTTCCAGTTGTGACTTAATATTCAGCGGGCATTGTACAAAAAGCACTTTCACATACATGAGCTAAGTCGATAAGCACGACCCATAAAGTGAGTATGTTTGTAACGGTTCTTTTCACAACCTACTTGAGTCTCCTTCAAATACACAGAGGTCCCTGGGTTTCAGGAGGGAAAATCTGGGAGATACTGTCAATGTTTACAAACTAACATTGCTTCCAACTACAGGCAAGCTCAGCTTTCAACGGTACCTGCAGCCCCTAGAAGCACCTGGGGCCCACTGGTTCTCAGGGTGGCCCTGGACCAGCAGCAGGGCTCCAGCACCTGGAACATTTAACCTGACAGTTTGAAGGCCCCACCCCAGACCCAACAAACCCTGAGCCTCTGGGGAGGGGTCCAGCAACAGGCTCGACTGCGCCTGCACTGCCAGTCATCGCTGCAAGCTTCTTTCTCCCTGTCTGGGCTGTGTCCCTCTTCAGTCATAGCTGTGGGGTAGCCCCCTCACCGAGCCCCATGCAGGGTCCTGCTCACAGCAGACCAGGAGATGGTTTCCCTTCTCCCAGAGTAAGCAAGGTCAGGGAAGTGCACCAACTCAGCTAGGGTCACACACCTCCCAGAGAGTGGCAGGACTATATTCTGAGCGGAGGTGTGGGCTCACAACAACACACACACACACACACACACACACACACACACACACACCAGCCATTCATGCATACTCCCCATGCACACATATACACATGCCATACATACACCTCATATGTACACACTCCATAGATACATATCATGCATTCCATCCATATACACCCTATATATACATATCCCATAGAGACACATACCTCCATACAGAGATGCACAACCCTAACTCAAAAACCTCACTGCCATAGAGCTGATGCTGACTCGTAGTGACCCTCCAGGACAGGGTAGAACTACCCTGTGGGTTTCCAAGACTTACTCTTTAAGGGAGTAGAAAGCCTTATCTCTTTCTCTCGGAGCAACCAGTAGTTTCAAACTGCTGACCTTGAGGATAACAGCCCAACACATAACCACTATAACACTTACATAACCCATACATAGATATATACCCACACACATACCCACACTGTACAAACATACCACATGCATACATACATACAGGCCCATATACACATGCCCCATACATACACATATACATGCGCTCCACACATGCACACACACATTCCATACATATATACATATTATACATATACACACATACCCCGTATACATATTATCATACATATATACAAATGCTATAATACACATTCCATACACCCATGCCCCATAGATATACATACTCCATACATATGTATAAACACCCCATATACATACACTCCATACCTACATACATAAACATCACATATTCCATACATATAAACAACCATGCTTAAACATACACATAACCCAAACATACATACACACCCCCTTCTACATATCTGCATGGCACACAAGCACACCACATACATACATATACACATACACACAGCATACACACACACACACAAAGAGCCATACATACATGCACACACCCATACAGACAACAAATCCCAAAGTCAAAATAAATGACTTCTGGCATTCACATAATTTGCAGCACCCTAAATCCACCCCCTGCCCTTGGCCCCTGCCCCCTGGATGTTTAGGCCACAGGCTTCCTTCTCAGAAGTATTCTGTTCTGTGCAGTCCCAGTCTGCGGGCCCGTTGTGTTGAGAGAAGGGTGCCCACCGCCGCCCCACCCCGCGTGAGGAAATCGCAGGTGGCGAAGAGCTTGGCTGCTGTGTCCTGCTCACGCCCCGCCTGAGGCCCTGCGCACCAACTCCAGGCGGAGGGTGGAGCGAGGCTCTGCTGCTTCTCGGAGCCCCCCACCCCGTGCCCCAGCAGAGGGAGGCTCCTAGAGTTTCTCATCCAGAGCCTGTGCCTCTGTGCTGAGTACCGACTGACTGGGTGTGAGTGGACAGGAGGACATCACGACCACAGGTGTCTTTGGCAGCCTGCCTGCGTCAAGGGGTGGTTCTGGGCGCCCGTGACAAAGGAATGCGGTACATGCCACGCGGACACTCTCCCAGTCTCACCTCGGTTAAAACAGAGATGAGAATCTCTGTTCTACCAACCTCAGGGGATTGTCTGGGGATGAAATGAGAGAACACAGACGTGAGAGCATCGGGAAGCGCGTCATAGAACGTTCTACAGAAAACAAAAGGGCTTCTAGGGCTTGACTTTGGGGCCAGGAGGAAAAGGCCTCCGGGGAAGGGAAGTACCTGCGGTCCCCAGAGGAGAGGCCTGAGAGGGCTAGTCTGTCGAAGTCCTCAGACAGGGGGCCTGGAAAGGAGTCTAAGGGGCAGCAAAATAAGCCGGCTTGTTCAGAGCCAGGAACATTCTTCAGGCCAGAGTGCTAAGAGCTGGAAACTTAAAACAAGATCGCTCGCAGCTAGAGACAAGCAGTGTGTCTGAAAAGGCATAGCCAGAGCATCTCGGGTCATGATCACCACATACACAACTCTGCGGACTTAAGGAAAAATGAAGGGATTTCCTTCTAAAAGGGTACATACATGTATCTAAAGATCACACACTTAAATATGAAACTCAATTCAAAGGCAAGGAAAAATTAACAGAAAAAACAGACCAATATCGAATAAACAAAGGAATACAGCACATTTCTCAGAAAGAGGTATAAAGAAAGCACCCATTTTCCCACGTCTATCACCAACTCAGAGTGAGGCTCAGGGACCCTTCACATGGTGGACTGCTCCTACCCTCTGTCCAAGGTATTCAATCTACATCCCTGCCTCCAAGGGGAAAAAGTGCAGGCAAACGCACAATAATATATTTTAACTGTTCATTGAAAACTTAATTTTCCTCTTAAATCAGGCTCCTTGTTAAAACACATCCTGCTTACCAGTAACACACTAGATTACGTCCTGGACTACTGGGGACAGGGTCCTAGTTGGTGAGTGCTTGCTAGGACTATGTGGAAAAACTAAGTACACACATGGAAGCTAAAAATTTAGAAACTTCCTTCAAGAGTGATTTCTTACCCGTAACTCTAGTCGTAACTCTAGTTTAAGAGCACGGTTGGTACTCTGCATGTCATTGAGTCATCTTCTCTTTGACAACGTCTGGGCAGTGGACAGATTTGGTTGTTTTAAACGAGTCTTCCCACCAGCGTGAGTGTGCTGGCTGGGAGGGTGCAGCATAGACAGGCCCAAGTCTTACTTACTGATACTAAATGAACCATATTAACAAGGAGCCACACAGCAGCAGTTCAGTCCAGCCAGGCAATCTGTCCCCTACATGAAAGCCCATGACACCCAAGTAAGTGTCCATGGGAGACCGTGCTTCTGAGAATCCACAGGCTCCACTGAGCTGTGGAGCTTTCTGGAGGCAGCCCCCCAAGTCCCCAGGTAAGGTGGAGGATACCTGACATGGCCTCCCCAGAATGGTCTCTAACTCAGTCCCCCAGGCCCTCTATTCAGCCCCATGGTCTGTCTGTCTCTTTGCAGGGACACGTCATTGTCTGACCTCTTTTATTTGGGGGTGACAGGCATCGGGGGGATGCCAACATGTGTTCTGAACTCACATCCTTTTGGGCAAGAGTAGCCTATGTCTGCTCCTCCTCTTTCCCACGGGGTCGCTTGGCCCTGACAAGTGCCAGGAGGGGAGTTCGGAGGAGAAAGCTGACTTGAACCAGCAGCCTGGGTTCAAATCTGCCTTCCCATGCCTTGGGCCGAGGCTTGCCATACACTCAAATGGCAGCAAGAGACTAACTTATCCCCCACCACCTCCGGCCCCTGCCCCGCTTCCCCGTCTCCTTATTCCCATCACATCAGACATCGTGGTGGCAGGCTGGCCTCCAGCGTTTGGTTTAACCTATTGTTAGCCACCCACAACTTCCCACTGAACACTTTCTATGCTCTGCACAGGGACCCTTTTACTTGTCTCCTCGGGTCAGGCTCTCTGGGAGGTCACCTTTCCCAAAAAGGGAAGCAGGGACTGAATGAAGGAGGAGTCTGCGGCCTGCATGTTCTACAGCCCTGCAATGTCCCATGCAGGTCCTGAGCCGGGTCTCCCTGGGAGCCCCATCTCAGGAGCCCCGAGCACGGGGGCAATCCATCCCCTTGGAGAGCTTCCCCTCCCCCCTCCTTTGGGCCCTTTCCTTCTCTCAGTTCTCAAATACTTACTTGTTCTACTACAGTATTTAATCACTTATATGATTACAGGATTATTTTATGTCTGCTATCATCAATTACAAGGAAATTACAATATAAATTCCTTTAAGGAAAAGAACTTCTCTATAAACCAGTCAAGCACTGTGCTGTTCAACAAAAGAAGCTTGCATGTCCCGGCTTTCTGCTGGATGCTACAGAGATGGTTACACGGGGGTGGGGGTGGGGGTGGGGGGGTGTTTACACTCACTCCATACCCTAATTAGCATAACTAGCTAACTCTTGGGAGTCGGGGTGATACAAAGAGTTGATACCCTTAGCTCCTGACCCCTGGGTTGAGGGGGAGCTGGCACCCTCAACTATCACCTGCCAAGGTTGGCAGCACATTGGAAGAAAGTTGTGGTGATTGAGTTCTTTCTAAAATACCACTGGAAAAAAAATGCCACTGAAAAGTCTATGGAGCAGTTCTGCAGGCACACACATGGGCTGGGATGGGCTAGAGTCGAAGGCAAATAGCTTCCTAATGGTGATGTTATTTAAAAGACCTTTACATATTTTAAGAGTTAGACACTATTGGGGAATCCAGCCCTCACAGAGGTCCCAGTAAGTCATAGGTACCTACTATTGGTTTAATTACTGTAACGGGCTGGCTTCTGAATTTTCTCAATGGTAGACTGGACTTTTAACATTCTCATTAAAATATGCACGAAT